ATGCCTAACACGTCTCTGACAGCAGGCAGTGCACTTGTTGAGAAGACTGAATTATCTTTTACACACCGACACAGCCGACAGAAACAGCTGCGAAGCTGTACAACAACACATTAAATCATCAAAGTGACTTAAGCTAAGTACTGCTGAAAGAGATTTCCACACTTATGAAAAATACATCTGTGGACTTAAATATCTACAAGCCTGTAACTCAGTTTATTGGGTTATTAAATAATAACACATTTACAGCTTTGAAGGTCTTCACAAACATTTTAACATATTACAGGAGGAGAAGCTCCACTGTAATGAAAATGAAGTCAGTGGAGAGATGCAAACTGGCACATTCGGTCTCCCTGTAATGGATTTATAGCTCTCAGAAGAGGAAGCTAACACAGGAATATCAGAAAGCAGGTCCAATTCTGGGAAACTGTTTACTTCGACCAATGCTTTGGAGACGTTCCTGCTGGAAAAACCAGATTCACTCCTTTGTTGCTCCCATGTAGGAATCTAAATTAAGCAGCAGCCCGGCAGGAGCGCAGATCAGCTTCTGTGGTTCTGTCCATCTGTCCAGCCTTGAAGTCACTTGTTTATTTTCAGGGATCCTGGACCTCAAATCTAAATCCTCTTTCTTTGTTTGGAACTTGGACATTGATCTAAAGGCCTCTTTGAAAGCCAAACAAAGCTTTTGAAGATTTTTATAGCTGCAAGAAATAAAACTGTTTACAAAATGCCTGCTTGAGAAGAACGCCTGCAACACTGCACCTTTTCTCTGCGCTTCATCTCAACAGGTACGTGTTTGCTCCCTTCTTCAAAAGCAGAAGGTAGAGATATACAAAAACACGCCCAGACATTCAGCACTTTTTCTATTCCTGTCTGACCCGTTTACATGATTCAACCTGAATTGTTGTTTTTATTTATTTTCCGTGTTATTCACGGAGTCCATCTCTGCTGTTTGCTTACGTAAACTAAGAATAGAAGTGTTGAGGTGGACAGCCCGCTGCGCTGTGATGTTTAGGCCTACATGAAGCTGGATACGTGACTCACCGGGCATGATGACATCTGGGAATCCCAGTTTGCGTGTGATGGCCACCCCCCTGCTGAAAATGAGCGGGTTTTCTCTGCGGACCTGCTCCATGTCGCCCCTCAGCAGCTGCAGGGAGATGATCAGCCCTGCAGGATGTGAAGGGGAAGAAATGGGAACGAGTGGGTTGACAGAAAAAGAAGATGGATGAAAAGCAAAGGAAGAAGACAGAAAAAAGTGCCCTATTTAAAAAGCACAGCCTTCAGGCCACACATAAAATTCAGATAAACTTAAAGTCTAAACAGAGTTTTGAAGCAGCAGAACTTGTTTGATCTCCCCAGAATCAGAACAAACATTTCGATGCATGCTAAACGTTTCCAGCAGACTCTCAGCCTGTTAGTCTGGGTTCATCTCTTCACCTGAAAACAAAAGTTTGCTGCTGGATTATGTTTTTATAAAGACACATATCTGTGCGGCGTCATGGGAGTTCACAGACTTTAACACTGGGGCAGAGGAGAGTCCTCCACAGTGACACCAATTAATATGATTTTCCCACTGATGTCAGTGTGATGACTTGCATCAGTCAGACGCTCTAATCTAAATAAGTTGCTCCTGGGAACTCTGAGGTTTTCGTTCAGTGTTCCTGAAATGTCGGCTGACTCATCAGCGATGAAATAAAACGAGTCACAAGTGCTGCAGGACTAAAATCTGCTCCTGCCCTCTGTGCTTTGACAGAAGTAATAAAGTGACTGGAAGAAACGGTCCACACAGAACATCAGCGGGCTGGAGCAATAACCGAGTGCTAGAAATTGCCTCCACCCTCGGCTGCTGTGTTCACAAAAACACCACCACACTGCTAATGCTGCAGGGTAACCCTGCAAGGAAAACTTATCTGCTTCTGGGTTTTGTGGCCAAAAGAATTCACCTGGACAAAAAAATCCAGTAGGACAATAAATTGTGCTCCGATATACGTGTAGCAAGCCTGCTGTGTTGTTTGGGTGTTGATTGCTAACCTTTATGGCTCCTCTCTTACCATAGCTGGGTTGCCCGTCATTTCCAGTGGAGTGAGGGCACAGATGCTGCACTCAGCGATCAATCAGGCCTACAGAGTAAGAGCTGGGGAGGAGAGCAGCTCAGTCTCTCTATGGGCGAGACGTACAGTAGCCTTAGCCGTGTGTTGTGTTTTAATTATGTCAAGCTCCCAGCGAGTAACTGTGACCTCCTGTTTGCAGAGTGGGTTTTTTTTCTTCTTTTGTGTTGTGGAGGTGCAGATTCTTCATTTTTATTTCCAATCTCCCAACATTATCTGTTGTTGATGCTTTTCTTTTATTTCTGGATTATTTAGGGTGTAGAGGCGAAGACAAATCTTTAAGTTAGAGCTTTTAATAAAATCAGGATTGAGTTTGTAATGTTTTCCCCTTTTCTTTCACACTGTTACTCCCCTCATCCTGTAGGCCAGCGGTCCCCACAGACTGGTTTATACTTGACAGTATTTTCACAGACCGGCCATTAAGGTGTCATAAATACAACAAAATAAAACCAGTATACCAAAAAAGAAGATTTATTCATTACACGGGGAAAGACCGAAGGAAACCAAGTTAACGCTAAAAACCGCTAAAAACCCTGAAAACTATAAATTCACCCCCGAGCCTCCTCTCTCGCAGCCCAGTACCAAACGACTCACAGACTGGTACCAGTCTGTGTCCTGGAGGTTGGGAACCGCTGCTCTACTGTTACTCCCCTCATCCTGTAGGCCGTTTCAGGGAACATAACAGTTTAGGGGCTTGTCCGGGATTCAGACCCAGGAAAGTATGCATTAAAGAAAGTGGAGATCTTTGAGATATTAACAAGTTATTTATTCTTAAATGTAACTATGAGCTTCAGTATTTGTATTTAGCATAAATCAGAGATGTGCTCTTTATCCCACACTCAGTTTGTTGGGGTCCAATCATCCAAACTCAGGGTACACAAACGCGTGGTTTCTCCTACCGTAGTTGGTGCTGGGTGCCGTGTATTTGGTGCTGGACTTGCGGATGATGTTCTCATGGATCTGGTACCATTCATTCTCATTGTTACACCTGGAGAGCAACAAAAAACAATCATGTCCTATAAAGGATAACAATATATTTGTAACTTGTGTTTTTATACAACAAAAGTTCAGTTGGATATAATGGACTTTTGAAATCTAGTTATTTTGCCAGTTATTTTGGGTTGTACGTGCCATCAATCATTGCAATTATGATACAAAATATAAAATTGGGGCGTGGTCTGCGGGTGGATGCTGGGGTGGTGAGGTGAGGTAGCAAGGCAGAGCAGCAGCGCTGACATGTCAGAGGAAGGGAGGGGAAATTTTGGAGCTTAAATACATGGATAAATTGGAGCAGGTCTTTCTCCCATGTCTCCGTTGGTCTCTACAGCCAATCAGCTGTCTCCATCTCTCTCTCTCTGTTGTCTGTTCTCCTGTCGCACCAAACATCTGTCCTCTGAATCTTCTCTTCTTCTGCATGGAGCTCGAACTTCATCATATTCATTTCAGATCCCATCCTGCTCACTCCCAGTGTGGATCTTTATATCTTCAGCCGGGCCTCCTGTCTTTTTGTCGGTGTCATCATCTCCAGACGACACATGGCAGCAGGTTCACTACCATCTTGTAGGCTTCCCTTTCACTCCTGCTGCTACTCCAAAAATGCAACAAAACATTTGTCTGTGTGCAGATCATCTTCACCTGGGCTTCATCGCTGGTATCTTGACAAACCCACTCTCCATTTCGAGTGCCAACCTGCCGCATTTTTGTGGAAATGCATCTTTGGTTCTGTGGTTTTGTTGGAAAATGTAACATCTCTGTTTGTATTGCACACTAGAGACTGCTGCTCTCGACCAGGTCATACATTTCTTTTTTTTGTTTCATAAAGGGAAAACAGTTTTTAGATTAGACCAAAGGTCAGATTAAACAACCATCTTTGAGACATTTAGAGGTCAGGAAATTGTATTTTCACAGTTTTACAGATCGCCTGATTAATCAAGGAAACAACAGGAGGAAAAAGAAAAAGAGCAGTAACTAGCAGACCTATCTGCAGATAAGACAGTGGATGAGCCACACTGTGTCAAGCAGCTGGATTTTTGTATTAACATAAAATAGCCCCGTCCAATAAAACAACTCGCTCGTTCCGCTCTTAATTTACTCGTCTTTCTTCAGAGTGAACGTGTGGATCTACATTTTCCTCGGCTGATTCTCACAAACTGATGATTTCGGTCCCGTTAACGTCACAGGATGCTGCAACACAAGCCTGAAAAGGAGACGTCGAACCCCCGTGAACTGACCGAGCAGTTCAGCTAAGACTGAGGCATCAAACACACACACAGACGCACACACACACACAGACGCACACTCTTCGTGCCTATGGTACGACAACTTTTCTCCGTGCCCCTGGTACACTGCGCAGAAACACCCAGCCACACACGCACGCAGACACACACACACACACTGTGCTGCTGTGCAGTCGCTCTCTCTTCCTTTACTCAGCACGACATCAGAGAGAAATACAAATAAGAAAAGGAGAAAGAAGAGGCTGGTGGTGACAGAGAGATAAGAACAGAAGTAAAGCTATAATAAAAATATATAGCATGGCCCACTCTACTGTCTCTGCAGCTCGCTGATCTTTAACCTTCTCCTCTTTCTCTCTCTGACCTTTTCTCTGAGCCCGGAAATATTTAGTCGGACAAAATGATTTTCCAAAAAGAAAATATCATCTTGTTTACTTTTTAAATATTTAATTAAGGATCCCTTACAGGTACCGACCTTCTCCAGTTTCCTCTGTAACTCTGCCAGCTTCTGACTGCAGCTGTGTTTAGCTGTTGCTTCTTCCTGCCTTTAGTTTTCTCCTCTGTAAATGAAATGCTGGCAGGTTTGAGATCAGCTGATTCTTTACCTTCCTAAACCTGGGGTTGCATTTGCAATTTGTTTTGTTGGGTCACTGTCCATCCGTCCAATGAAGTGCCAGCAACTAAACCTGAGATCTGTACACTTCATTCAGGATTCATATGTCTGCTTATGTCTCCTGTCACATCATCGATCGACACCAGCGACTCATGTCTGTGTCACTGCTTCACCACAGGTTCGAGTCCTGTGCTGTGAGTCTAATCAGGCCTTTACTTGTGGTGAACCCTCAGTATTTTCTCTCGCCTCGTTATCTGCGAGCGCAGACACTTACGTGTACACTTTAAG